GCTTGCAACTATTTGATATGCTGTCACTGAGTTGCCAACTGACTAGATACAAAGACTTCATCAATTACCAACAGAATGGCTGACTGGGATGGAGGGGAGAGCCAGAGGAGATTAGGGAGACATCACGAAGCAACAGGTGATGTGTGTTATTCAAGTGGAGTATTAGGAAACTAAATATCAGCTTTAATTAACTTTAATTAAAAAATAACTTATAACAGAATGTTCATCATCCTTGATGGCTCAAGCCTGTCCTGATCCATACAAGCTGGCAAATTTGTGTTTACCTAAAATAGAAAGAAAACTGTTCTGAAATTAGATTGTGAAATTTGCTTTCAACTTTTCACCAAAGTTGTTGTTTTTTTTAATTTCATGTCAACTTATAGAAAATTACATTCATATTTCATGTACATGTAAATTATGTAAGGCTATACAATGTCATGTACATTTCCACTGTGTTTAAAGTTTTATGTAATTTTCTATAATGGGCCACAACATTTCCTGTCATATCACATACCTGGAGGTGGAACTCATTCGGATCATTGAGGAATACTGTAAGGACTTTTCAAATTTCGTGTACATAGATATCCAGTGCAGTTTTTGCAGTACTTTCATTGGATGGTTCATTTGTTTAATGAAGAAAATTTCATGTAAGCCGCATGTTTTGTGAACATTGCTCATTTCAGTACGGATTCTATTTTATAATGTCTGCCTTTCTTATTATAACAGGGCAACTGGATGATGACAGCCTCTACAGCATATCTACACAGATTCATGCAGGTGAATGGAAGGGACTGGCAACAAGGCTTGGCTTCAGTGCTGCAGAAGTCTCCCACTTTCCAAGTGATCACTCCTTCACTGCAGAACAAATCAACCAGATGCTGGTCACCTGGAGAAACAGACAACCTGTTCATGTCAATCAGACAGAAGCTCTCTGCAAAGCATTGAAGGAGGTTGGAAATGCACAACTAGCTGACAACTTGACAGGTAAGTTGTAGTGTGATAGGTAAGCAACAGTTGTGTTTTATGGATTATCTGAAGAGTTTGTGTTCATTATGAGATTCACCAGAAAGTCTGTCAGTAGTTGTGATCTTTAAGGAGGATATTGTTTTTGTAGCATTTACTTTTATGTCGCATAATCCTGATTGAATTCGGACTTATAATTATCACCCAGGTGTGAAACGGCAAGTTACTATTGATATTGGAGTTGGTAAACTTGAATTTGTATAACTGACTCCTTTTTCACTGTCCAAAAGGTAAATTAGTTTACTTTCAAAGAAAGGAGATTTCTAAAAATTGCCTTTGTAATGTTTAGATATTACAAAGGCAATTTTTAGAAATCTCCTTTCTTTGAAAGTACATGTATGCAATAATCAAATGCATAGTGATGGGTGCATGCAAGAAGGAAGGACATTTGTTATAAAATTACGAAATCCAAAAACTGTCCTAATGCAGAGATATTGAATACTCTCTTTTTAGAAATTTTTTTAGCAATTAATACAGGTTGGTGTAATTTCAATGAATTTAGAGCAGTTAAAAGACATGGTTGTTTGCACAGAATGTAGTCACAAACGTTGTAATGTGTTTTGTTTTATTTGATACTTTATCAGAGAATCAACCAAATACCGGTACATTCAAGAAAGCAACTACACAGAGGGCTGTCTCATGCTCACAGCCACCAGGTACTAACCAGTGTTTGAGGTACCTTGTGCTTTCTTGTGTGGAAAATAATCACTTTGAGGTTACTTTTGCTAGAAAGGTAATTGTGAGAACCTTACGTGTCCATGTTACAGTGCAGTTTAGATTCAACTGCATATCGTCCATTGTCGTTTTCTTCACAACAGGGGAGTTGGATGATAGCAGTCTGTATGACATAGCTGAACAGATTGATGCAAATGAATGGACAAGACTTGCTGCAAAGCTTGGCTTCAACCAAGCAAGAGTCTCTCACTTCAAGGACAATCATTCCAATGTTCGTGATCAAATCAATGGGATGCTGGTCGCATGGAGGAAAAAACAACCAGGTGATGTCAATCAGAGAGAAGCTCTCTGCAAAGCACTAAGGGAAGTTGGGGACATCAATCTTGCTGATAAGCTGAGTGGTGAGTATGTAAATGTTAGGATAAGAGTAACCTACATGTATGTCAGTATTGTATTTGGAGAAACTTTATCTGCTTATACACTGACATTTCAGGTGATATCCATGTATCTACCTAGATACCTTTTTCTAAATCATGACTTCAGAAGCTTTTTAACCACTTCCTGCCGGGTGACTTGTTTTTGAAGTACTTAGGCTTTATATACAAAGCCGGGGGTGGGCCCAAAACCGGACAAAAGAGTTGGGCCTTGTAAAAAAACACTGCGCTTGGCACAAAAGACCAGGTAGCTGGGCATTACTAACATTTTTTCACTCTCAATAGTGGAGATAATCCAGCCATGTTTTGATACCATATACCAAGGTTTGGAGCATTTAGAGCGAGCGGATTACCTCTGAGACAAAAGCATTCCACCACCGCAGGGATGAGCCACACAGCACCGCTGCACGCTAATCTGGCCCTTATTGAAAAGAGGTCAGCAGTGCACTGTTCCCGGTTTCCGGAACAAAAGAGTCTCACATAACACGGCACAATTTGAGCTCTATTTACAAGGCTGTGGGCCTGGCTGAAAAACTCGGGTGTCAGTGATGGCCGCCTGTCAACTTGGAGTAGTGCCCAAAGAGTCCTTCCTTTGTGTTTAAACGTCCGTTAAAAGAAATGATGAATTTTTGAAGAATTTTGAAAACTGGAAATCTTGAAAATGACCCCTATGTGTGCACTGCATTTTTCAAAGCACCTGGCAGCAAGTGGTTAAAGATTAGGTCAATGATGGAGGACATTTTTCTGAAAAATCTCTTTATGTAGATATATTACAGAGACAAGGTCTTTCGTATAGTCTCGACTGTGTGTGGTTTTAAAAGTTAGGTGTACATTTCTTATGAACTCTGGAAATACTAAATTTTAGTTACAGCTGTTGAACTATGAACATGAATATTGTAGAAACTCACAATGAAATTTGTGAGGGAAATGTGAGGAAATTTGTTCTGGGGCTATTCTGTGGAGGGTGGCATCCACCAACAAGACAGTTCTTGGGCATGCCATGGCTTTGGTCGTACGTGACTAGTTTTATCTACTGCAAATCTCTGCTGCTACTGACTGTAGCTGGGCCAAGACGTCTACAGTGCGGATTCCATGCATTGAATGGTGCCATTCTGCATTGCCATGCCTTCATATGCTTTCGTATCATCATGTAAGATTACTGCATGGACCGTGCAGCACGGAGTGATTAAAATACCCCGCCATAACTGCTTCCACGTATCATGTCATACTTTGGCCAATTTGCATGCCGCCCTCAATGACGATTTTTCAGACAGATGACGACTTTTTTAATTATCCAGCCTGAAAAATGAGTTTCTAAAAATCCTTTTTATACTTGATTGGATGGCAAGAATCCTGTTTATTT